CCTCAGCACAGCTCCCGGCTGGTCCCCAGTGCTGTGGTGCCCGCCAGCATGCGACTGTCACAGCACCAGCTCCTGGAGTCCTGTGAATACCCTGGAGTCTCAGCTTGGTTACAGAGATAAATTGGGAAAAGTGCACCCAAGGGCTGAAAAGCCAGAAAGCAAAGGAAAAGGAGCCAAATATGCTGTTTTAAAAATCTCCATGATGTTTTAAGACCTGACATGATTTTGGACTCTGTCTCAGATCTCCAGTGCTTGGAGCTAACACCGTTGCTGTCTCCTATCATCTTGTCCCTCTTCTGGTTCTCCTTTAATTACTCGTATTAGTGTGCCACTTTGTTCTGCCCTTTATCTGCCTATGCCTCCTCTTCCAGCTCGCCATTCCCCTGCGCTCTGTGTTTGCTCAAAGCTCTCCAAGACTGTGTTTGGCCTCATCTTTTGCCGCCCCCTCCACCACCCATCCTGTTTTGCAAATCCCTCTTCTACTTTTAGCAACCTCATGATTAGTCCAGGACACCAGGGCTTTGCAGCTGCTGCTCCTGAGAGATGGAAGGAAGGAAAGAAAGAAGAGATTTCCTCTTCCAAACCTGTTGGTCTTCCAGATGTGCATAGTGTCAGGGTCTGTGATCCCTCTTTTCTCTGCTTGCTCCTCTAGGAAGTCAAAGAAATATTTCACGGCCACAGGTGGTTTATCATCTCGGATACTGAGAATGGCTTTGAACAAGTCGTCCAGGAACTTCTGCAGCGTGCCCTGCGGGACAAGCGCACACGATGGAGACTGGGGAAAGCAGCAGCACCCGAGCCCAGGAAAACAGTGTGAGGGGCTGCGGCTGCTGCACACAAGGGGAAATCCTTTGCTGCCAGTTGGATAAATCAGAAGAGAAAGGGGATGATGAAGCAGGGAGGGAAAGGTTTGTTTGTGCATAGCAATATAATTAGCTTGCATTTGGGTTTAATTTCTTTTGGCATCGAGATTTTTCTTTCTTACTGCTAGGATCTCACATCTGTGATTGTTCTGCACAGTAAATACAAAGAAGACTGGAGACTGCTGGCCATTCTTGTGATCTCTGCTCCAGTGAGGCATCATGCTGGGATTAAAGATGGGCTGGGAGCCCAACTGCTGGAGCTGAGCACTCGCAGAGAGTGGGGAAGTTCAAATCTGAATTAAGATCACACAGACATTCTCCCTGCTCCCAGAGCTGAGCATCTCCATCTCCTTTCCCAGCAGGATCTCTCGCTGGCGAGATGGGTTCAGGTCTAAACTGTGCATCATGAGCCCTGAGGCAGTCAGCACCCCTTTCATGTGCACAGACCCCAGACCAGCCTGGGGAGATCGTGTGGGGCTTCACACAGCAGCACTGCTGCTCAGAGGGCGAGCTGGCAAACTGGAGGGAACCCAAGGAGCCAGCGGTGCCCAGCAGACTCACTAAACATGCTCCAGCTGCCCAGGACAGAAGAGTCCCACTGCCTCTCGAGAGCAACCGGCCCTGCAGTGCTCCTTCCCTAGAGCAGGCTTCTCACTACAGACCACAAACAATAATCCCACCTGCCGCGAACGGGGGCATCCCGTCTCCTACCTTTGTGGAGAGCAGCCTGGTCAGGTAGATCTCCGGTAGGACTTTCTTCCTATGGCTCTGTCTGTGGGACTTCTTATGTTCGACCGATTCATCAGTTGGGAGAACCTGGTCCGATATAAAACACATGTTCAGAGCACTTCTCTCTGGAAGTGTCACACTGAATTTTCCTTTAAGTATAGAATTTCAACTGTATATAAAATTAATTTAAAAAGTAGTTACTGCGTTATAAATACACCCTTATATGGCTTTAAAAAAGTGATTCATAATGCTCAGTTTTTCTGACATTTGTTTCTCTTGCGCTCTTTATTGCCTCTCTCAAGCTAGACAAAGAAAATGAAACAATCAATCTCACTTTGCATGTTAGTCTACTCGCCTTCCTGGTCTCTGTGCAGTACTCCTGTGTGGCTGCAGTTTAGGCTCTCAGAAGCAACACACAAGGCTTCCGTGGAAACCAGCTTTCCTTAAGATTTGGAAAAACTGCAAGAATGATCAGCCAATATTCCTACCCTGGCCTTTTTAAAAACAAAAATAAATATTCCACTGGTCAGGTCAGTTAATTACTGCTCTATAATGACCTAGCAAGCCATTTAAGTCCATCTTGGCATTGTTTCACATGTGCACATTTGGTTTCCCATCCCTTCTCCCTCCTTGCTCTGCATGTATGTGTGCGTGCGTGCATGTGCATGCACGCATTGTGTGTTTGTACGCTATTTGAGCACAGAAACTTTAGCAGAGGGAAAAAAAAAATCAGGCTATAAAATATTGTTGTTGTCCATAACACTTTTTTTCATAACAGCTTTTAGCAATGTTTAGCACTTCGTACTTCCAGCGTGGCGCACAAGCAGGAACTAATAAATCTCCCCAGCCCTGGGAAGCAGGCGGCATGCCAGGAGCTGCTGGTAGGTGACCTGACCAAGGCTGCGCAGGGTGCTGCCGGCAGCGCTGCACCACGCTCCAACCATGTTCTTGAGCTCTCTGGCTGCTGATAGCTAGATCTGGCACAATTACTTTGCCATCCTGGTAATTTTTTATTATATCTCATAGTACTAAAACCTGTCTATAGATAACCTTTCTGCGCCTCTTTGAGCTTCTCTGGAGAAGACTAACGAGCCCTGATCCAGCTTGTTCATCACATCTGATGTTCCAGCCCACAGAGATGAATTAAGTTAATATCAGCGAGGCTGAGAAGATTTTCTCCTCTTTCATCACATACACTGAAAAAACAGGAGCCAGAGACTTAGGTGCAGGAGAAGACAAGGGACCGCTGCACACACAGCCTGACTGGTCACCTCTTTGCTCCTAGTGCTTTCTGGACAACCTGCCCCCCTGCCTGGCCGATCACCACAGCCCAGGGCCTGCCTGCCCCAGTGCCGCAGGGGCCGGCTGCTGCCAGAGACCAAATGGCCTGTTTGGCCCTGTTTGTAGGGACAAAAGCAACAGCTTCCGTTGTCTGCCAATGGGGCGTCATCGTAAAGGTGAAATATGTCAAAATACGCAGATGAGATGGGCACTCCGGCACCACTGCAAGGACCTCTTCCTCCAGTGCCTCGCCACGCCGCCCGCCCGCACCCCGCCAGCATCCTCGCTATCACGGCGGCAGGCA